AATAACAAAAACAGATCCATTATTTTTTTTTTATTACAACAAAAACATATCCAACTAAAAAAAATCATCAAAACAACATTATTACGTGAACTAAATTTTTTGAAAAAATATTTTTTCTATTTGACTACAACAAACTATTTGTTACTTTGATTTTCTATCGTAATATCAAAGATATTCTCATAATATCCAAGATCTCTCCTCAAATAACTAATACGAAAACAATTACAAGAGTAGAAAATAAACAAAAAGCATGCAATCGTGGGGTCATTGTGAATCCATCAAAATCCAGCAAAATGCTTTCAAATACAATTACAACAAAATACATTAAAAACCAACTCAAGGTAATGGATCATTGTGAATTCATCAAAACCCAACAAAATACTTCAAAATACAATTACTATAAAATACATTTAAAACACGAATCCAATACCACCTCCTTAGTGTGTATATATATTTAAGCATTTTTTAAGTCTCAAAAAATTTTGTTTTTTTTCTTTTTCTTAAGAAATGTTTTTGGTAGATCTTTTTTCCTTCAATGAATGCTATTTTGTTCAGAACTATTAACAGAAGTTGCGTCAATTTCTGGATAAATATTATGGACCCTTTTAACTTTAAAAAACAAAAATGAATTCGTTCACGTCGTTCTAAAACATCACTCTCGCATTTAATAAAGATACAATGTACACTCAATCTCACGACCTCTCCCTTTTCTGAATGTCTTTTTCTTACTAGAAAAAAATACTACCAAAATACGAGTTTTCAAAAAATAAAAAGAATCATGATATTTTAATCTTAGAAAATAACCGAACTGAATCGACACTAATCGGTCTTCTTCAAGTTGTTGTTGACTATAAAACCCTCTTCTGTGAATCAGATGTCCCATTCTCATTCTTTTCACATTCTCTCTCGTTACAAAACTAATCTAAACCCTAAAAACCAAATCTTTATTATACCATCTCAATCACAATTTTCTCTCTAAGCTTATACGACAACTTATGGGATTTTCCGGCAAGACCCACCACCAGTTCGACGGCGAATTTCGTGAAACTTCCGAAGGAAAGAAATGGGTCATCTCCGGAATCACCTTACGTTCGCCGATGAAGCCGATTAGCCTCTCCACCTCTGCCGTAGCCGACACGGAAGATCAAGAACAGTATCCGACGACTCCAACGGCAGATTCCTCTAGAATTCCGACGGTGTTTTTGTGTCCTCCGGCGCCGAAGAAACGAAAACCGTCGTTGAAGTTTAGCTACGGCGGTGCTAGAGAGTTCTTCACTCCACCGGATCTCGAGACCGTCTTCTTACAGAGAGCTACTTACAGATACATTTAGGGCTTTAATATATACTATAAATTAATTTAGCTCTTTACTAGTTAGGTGGGTTATGTACTCTATTTTTTAGTAAAACAGATTAAATTAATTCGTTTGATAAAAAAAAGAAGGATACACTTGATTCCTATTTGCTGAATTTTACTTATCTGGTTAAGGAAAAGTTTCAAAATTTCTCCGAATTTGTTCCAAAAAAAAAAAAAAATTTCCATATTCCTTTTACCTAATACATCTATTCCAAACTAATTTGTTAGAATCTCATATCGAAGTCCAGATTAATTTCGGAGACATGTGCATACTATGTAAGTTTTATTTATAGTGGCCAAAAATAAGATGAATGAATGTTCCATAATCTCCTGTTGACTAAGTCAATGTCTAGGAAACTCCAATTGTATCATATACAAATTTTATCTTAG